CAAGCCACATTGTTCAAATGTGCATCTGGTCCCTCGCCTAGGAATGGACACCCTGGGCAAGCCACATTGTTCAAATGTGCATCTGGTCCCTCGCTAGGAATGGACACCCTGGGCAAGCCACATTGTTCAAATGTGCATCTGGTCCCTCGCTAGGAATGGACACCCTGGGCAAGCCACATTGTTCAAATGTGCATCTTGTCCCTCGCTAGGAATGGACACCCTGGGCAAGCCACATTGTTCAAATGTGCATCTGGTCCCTCGCTAGGAATGGACACCCTGGGCAAGCCACATTGTTCAAATGTGCATCTGGTCCCTCACCAGGAATGGACACCCTGGGCAAGCCACATTGTTCAAATGTGCATCTGGTCCCTCGCCAGGAATGGACACCCTGGGCAAGCCACATTGTTCAAATGTGCATCTGGTCCCTCGCCAGGAATGGACACACCTAAGCCAGGAAATGGACACCCTGGGCAAGCCACATTGTTCAAATGTGCATCTGGTCCCTCGCCAGGAAATGGACACCCTGGGCAAGCCACATTGTTCAAATGTGCATCTGGTCCCTCACCAGGAATGGACACCCTGGGCAAGCCACATTGTTCAAATGTGCATCTGGTCCCTTGCCAGGAAATGGGTACTCAGTTTGTGAGCTGGATGTAAAAACAATCTGGTGTTTGTAGACTAGATGGGCTGTATACTCCCCATGGAGTTGAGAACAACAATTGAAATGCATATGTAACCACTGACTGGGAACAAATCGTATTTGAGATACCTGGTGTAGAGTGTAAATGTAACAGATTAACTACAGAAATAATCAGGTGATACTCTACTCAAACAAGATGAATAATCAGGTGTTCCACATAACAGATTAATATGAAAGAATAGGGTATATATCACTGTAGCTTTTTCTCACTTTTAATGTCAAACTGTAAAGCAATGTAAAAATTGTTCAAAGCAGTGTCAACCAAGCTCAGTGACACTTGGCGATTATTTTTTGTTCAAATGTATTTTGTTTTGACACACTTCATTAATGTTTTATATATTTCTGTTTTACCTTACACACAATTCAATGTTTTAAAATGTTTTTGTTGTAATGTCATTGCTATTGATAACACTTGATTAATGCTTAATGATCACATCACACAACATCTCACATCTGTAAAGTATTAGAAAGTTAAATGCACTCGCTAATGTCTTAACGTGAGAATACACTTCCATCAACTCAGCATGGTTAATGCCATCCAATTAGGCAAGATATTGATGAATACAGAGATTATTCACAACGAGGGAGACGAGCTGTGACCCTGACTTTATTACCTGCACAAAAACAAAGGGGTTTTGGAGACTGCATACAAATATGCTCATTACAGTCTGGCTTGATGGTGGCGATACTCTGGCGAGTCATGGGTAGGATTACTGGGCAGGTCTGAGGAGGCCCTGCTGATAATATTTGGAGACACGAAACTTGGTTTAAAGTTGCCTCCAAATTATTGAACATATATGGTGAGGTGCATGCACATGTGTGTGTGAACTGCTGCTTGTACATGTCAGGAATTATGCCAGCTTTATAGCACTAGCCCATGAGATACCATGTTGCAATTTAACATAGACACGCCACCAGACAGAGTATACAGTCTTCAAGCAACCAGTCCTTATTTTATCCCCTAATGCAATGATCTTCAGGAACCCATGCTTGTCGTAAGAAGCGACTAACAGGAATGGGTGGTCAGGCTCACTGACTTGGTTGACACATGTCATTGTATCCCAGTTGTGTAGATCGATTCTCATGCTGTTGATCCCTGGATTGGTTGGTCCAAGCTCGAATATTTACAGACTGCCACCATATAGCTGGAATATTGCTAAGTGTGGCATAAAACTAAACTCACTCAATCACTCACCTGATGCCAAGCACCAGTCAACAAATACCATCTTTTAATGTCTTTGGTATGACACTGCCAGGGGATCAAACCACTGTCCTCCAATTCTAAAGGCAAATGCTCTATCCACTACACCATTGTTGTGGTGTTTAAGATGACAGAGGGGTAGTGGGGTAGCCTAGTGGTTAAAGCGTTCACTTGTCATGCCGAAAACCCAGGTTCGATTCCCCACATGGGTACAATGTGTGAAGCCTATTTCTGGTGTCCCCTGCCGTGATATTGCCGGAATATTGCTAAAAGTGGCATATAACTATACTCACTCACTCACTCACTCACTATGATGAGAAAACACATGTGGAACAGATAGGATGCCAGTAGAACTGGAGTTACGATTTTAAAGGCTGATCCACAGTCAGTTTTGCTCTTAAATTTTGAACATTACTATAAGAGTTTTAATTCTGATTCATCTTAGGTTTCTTTGTTCACATGAGATGAGAGTAATTGTGACATGGTCTGAGAGTGAGTGAGTTTGGTTTTATGTAGCTTTTAGCAATATTCAATCTGAGTGCTAGTCTGTCTATCATAGTCTCTGAACCACATTATTTTCCCTAATGTCTGGCCCTCCCCTGCAATGCTAAAGCAATAAATGAAGCAAGTCTAGATTTCCTCAGGTTCAGGAATCTCCCATCTCACTGGGGCTCCTCTTCAAATTAAATGGGTTTATATCAAAATTATATATATTCAGAGACTAAGCAGCAGTCTAGCTGAGTCACAGTGAGGATAGTAAGAATGGGATTCACACATTACAATATACATGTCTCCAGTGTGATGAGCCAGGACTTTAACCACTAGGAAACAAATTGGCCTTCAAAAAAGAAATTCTCATTGGAGGCCAAAGTGGCTGCCATAACTAACCAGCTTGTTTGATTGGGCCTGTAAAACAAGGCAGCTACAGTAAACAGCACCAAAGAATTGCTGAAATTCTGCAGCAGTTTTCTTCCATGATGATTACAGAAGAAACTCAAGAACTGAAAGCCAACAGGATGACCTCCTACCCAATTAGCAAACTGCCTTGTTTTACAGACCCTTCAGAGGACTATCTAACAAGCAGGTTAGTTATGGCAGCCAATTTAACCTCCAAAAAAGAATAATTACTTTTCTTGCAAGCCAAATTGTTCCCTATCTAAAAGAAAATTTAATCAATAAAGTCTGTCTTTGAAGTTTTGAAGTTCCTTTGAATATTTTTGATACACAAGACCAGGCTACAACTAGTGAAAGTTTGTGCTGTCTTAAGATATGGTAACACTGATAACACAAAGCTAGTTTCTCCAACATGATGAAACAACAGATGATGATGATGCACCTTGTGAGTTTATCATTATGCAGACAAAAGCATCACCACAACAATTCTTTTTCTGTTCCTTTAGATCCCCAACAATTGCAGTCATTTCCTATGTGATAATAATATTTATGAATCCAATAGGCTCTTATAACAGCTCTATCATTGTATATACATTGTCATATTCACCAAGCAGGGAATACGCTCTGTATCTCAGATCTTATGGCTGCTCTGAGAGTGCATGGAACCACTGATCCTGGTATTGACATTACAGTATGGAGACTATCATGATTAAATATTAGTGGTATTATTGACATATTCTGCAACTGTCGATCATATGTCAGGCGCAATACGCGACTGACTGTCTGGAAATGGAACCACAATGCAGACAGAGGAACTCCAAGTTTGCAGGAATGAAATTGTGCAAAGCTCTGGTGGCTCAGAGTTGTCTGGGAAATATTCCCAATTGCCCAGATCACTTTCAGTGATCCATCCCAAGGCTAATCAGGATGATAGAGACCCTATGTTGTTAGGCACAGGACTGGAGTAATGGTGTGCTTCTGGTGGACACCTTGGTTACAATGGACAATACAGGCTCACCATCAAAGGGAACAGGTGACAAAATTGCTGACAGAGGTTGCCTAAAAACTATTTCCATATTGACAATTTCCAAAAGACATTTTTTAATTCACGAAGGGCTTTTGAGGTTTAAAGGGGTTTAGTATGTCTAAATGAAGTCAAGGAAGCCATGATGAGAGAACACAGCAGTCTGTATGAAGCTGAAAAGGGGACACTTCTGGTACCGTGTGTGTGTGTGTGTGTGTGTGTGTGTGTGTGTGTGTGTGTGTGTGTGTGTGTGTGTGTGTTGTGTGTGTGTGTGTGTGTGTTCAAAAGAGGTTACAGAGCATCCGATTCTTTTATACTACTGTAGTTAATGTTTTTCAGTAAAATGAGGTAAGTTGGTATTTAATTTTAGTGCTATGGCTCTTGAAGATTGGCAGTCCTTTAAGAAAGTATAACCAAGGTCATTTCAATTGTTTGTCTGCCAACTCATATTAATTTATGCTATTATTCTAACAGTTCATTAAGGAGACCTTTCAATTTAAGACAAGTCTACGAGGCTGAAAATGGGCACCAGAGAGTGGAATACTGTCTCTCAAAATAATCATGTTCCACAAAATATTGTACAATTCCAGTATGATTCCTTAAATCAAAAAAGGCAAAACAAAAACATTTTCATATGCATTGTTACCAGAAATAAGGATGAAGCATTCTTGGAGATGTGTTCATGCAATTCATATATTGGTTAACACAGACACGATTCAGCAGGTTAGCGGGTAAGGGAAGGGGGCAAACATTTTGGGTGCAGTAAAATCAAGTTCAAACCAGGACTGTTACGATTCACTTAAAATGACATTAATAATTTGGTGCCATACAAATCTTGATAACAAATACATTTTATAAAAATAATGACATGTTATCAACCAATATATTTTCTGAAAGTATATACAAAATTTCTTCTGTTAATGTTTAAATGCCACAAAATTAGTAAACATATTTTTGTTTGGATTTTTATGATGGCATACATCACTTTAACATGTTAACAATTTCTTGCAATATATATGATAAAATTTAACTTGCACATTGGCAATATTTTAGTCACATGATACAACATCATGATCTTATGTTTTTTATACCTTAACAAAGTGAATCGTGACAGTGCTAGTTCAAGTGTTTGGCAAACCGTTAACTCACAACTGAATACAACTCAAAGCAAACCTACTGACCTATCTTTTTCCTGACTGGAACAAAAATATATAAATACAAAATTCACAACTAAAATAAGACAACAAATACAACAATACAAACAAAAGGGCAAAACAAACAAACAGGAAACACATTAAGTGACTAAAAAACATAAATGCAGGTGTACACACACTAACTAACCAACCTTTATACATTCAATAACAAGATCTGTCCAGAAATAGTAATTCTTAGTAGATAAGTCTGTTATAACACAATTACTGTATGTGACCAATGAAAAGCTTGTACTTTCTGCAGATCACCTATTGAATACTGTGATTAGTTTAACTGTCAATTCCAGATGTAATAATCACCATGTAACCATGCAATAACATCCTTAAGTCATATCTGAAGTGTGTTATAACAAGAACAAGACTACTAATCTGGGCATATTAGATTAAAGTTCTCCCATAAATCTTTCTGGTATCCAACGTCTAAGATCTGTGTAGATTCTATTTAGAATCGGTCCCATGCAGCCTGTGGTGGTTGTAAGATGCGACCAGATAGATTGCATGATCAGGCTTAGTAACTTGCTTCAATGTCGTTGTACCTTGTCAGCATGGATTGTTGCATATAATATTGATCACTGAATTGTTTCGACTCTAAGCATTACATGCATTTATCATATAGCTGGAATATCATATTGCTGAGTGTTGCATAAAAACAACAAATACAGAGAGACAAGACCTGTTCTTAATCCAAAGTTTGTATATTTAGATAACTTCCATCTTTGTTGTAGATCACAGTAACCATACTCACCATTGTCATCCAAATCAAAGTCGTCCACCGACAGCTTCTCATGACCGTATGCCACAAATATTGTTTCATCACTGAAGAAGTCTGCCAGACAACACACCTGCAACGTTAAAGGTGAAGGTTACAGGGGAAGGTCAATGTTTCAGACAGGGTAATTTTCTAAGACTTTCAAACAGGTTTTCCATACATATGCTGTTTCTTGGTACCGTATTTGCTAAGGTCATGCTAATGTTGTTTTCAAGTCTTGATTTTGGGGGGCAAACTATTTTGAGATGATTTTGAGTGAGTTACATTTTAATGAGTGAGTGAGTGAGTTTTAAGCAATATTCCAGCAATATCATGGCTGGGGACACCAGAAATGGGCTTCACACAATGTGCGCATGTGGGGAATCAGACCCGGGTCTTCCGTGTGAGGAGCGAACGCCTTAACCATTAGGTTACCCCACCGCCCCAGTTACATTTTAGGGCTACTTTGGACAGCATTACAGCTATGGCATCATGGAGGATCTGCCTGGAGAATGGGAGGACATTGGTTTCATAACCTGGCAGCGTAATACCAAAAGACATAAAAAGATGGTATTTGTTGTTTCCCTTCCTGTCCCTTGGTATTAGGGGAAAAATCAAAGACTAGTTGGTTTGAAGAGGGCATACTGTATCTGGGTGGAGTATCCATGTTGAGCATTAGGCTAAAAAGTGAATTGGGTTAATAGAGTGAGTGAGTGAGTGAGTGGGTGGAGTGAGGAGTGGTGAGTGAGTGAGTGATGGGTGAGTGAGTGAGTGGGTTGGTGAGTGAGCAGATTGACCAGAATTGCAATTATATCACAGCATGTCAATTATAATGTAAGTTAATGTAAGAAGAAAGCTCAAAGAGGTGCAGGCCTCAGACATTTACCACTAAGGTGAAATCAACAAACATGACAAATCTAAAACCTAATCAGGGTGAATCAAGGACAAAGTAGTAAAGAATGAACAGTAGGGTATAACTTAAAAGCCTTGTTTATAATTCCCTAAGCCACTAAACCACTTAGCTCATTGTCAAACAACATGTATAATCAATTTCAGATCACTTCTTTATTTCCTATTGAATTACGATCATCACAGATGAGTGGTAGAGCAAGAGAATTGCAGTACCCCACAGACAGAATAAATGCATTTTGTAAACAATAAAAAAGCACAGCATGATAACAAAATGACTAGCTGAGTGTTAAAAGTAATTTAATATGTCTCTTGACGAAAGCTTTCTGGCAGGTTGTTTGTTGACAATGGCATGTTACTGCACAACAGTATTATCTGAATTGCTATGTAGGACAAACCAGGGCTGTTTACAAGTATTTATGACACCAGAAGTTTATTGGATCTACTTGACAGTAATAGGTGTAGGTATCTCCAGTCACTATCTTGTTTACAATGTAACGACCTCATATCTTTTACCATCATGTGTTTCTTACACTTATACTACCCTCTAGGAAAGATATCTTCTATTTCTATGGAAATTCTATTTATTTCTTACTCTAAATTGTACCTTTAAGTTCAAGAAAACATCTCAGCTGTGGTGTGACATCATACTTTCTATATTACATACCATCAAACTTTTATGTCCTTTGTTCCTTTTGTTTATGATGTCATATCTCTTTTGTCTATTATATAATATGCACTGTTGTTTATGTCACATCCCCATCTGTTTATGAAGTCATATTACACATTGTTGACAACTGTTTATATCATCCTTTGTTTATGATGTCATATCTTCCCTTTGTTTATGATGTCATATCTTCCCTTTGTTTATCTTCCCTTTGTTTATGATGTCATATCTTCCCTTTGTTTATGATGTCATGTCACACATTGTTTACATCTTATCCTGTTGATGATGTTATATCTAACTTTGCTTATGATGCCATTTCTTCCTAAAGCATCCCTTTTTAGCATGTCATTTAAGAATTATTTCATTATTCCATGCATGAGCAGTGTAGCCTCATTAATGCTCTAATCCCATTAACATAACAATGTAACATTTAATAAGGTCTCAGACCTCCCTATAGGGCCAGGCCTGATATCACTGCCTCAGACTGAATATCCTTACAAAGTGATGTCTGCATTGAAACGAAAAGGTTCACCCAGAAATCGAATGTTACAGAAATGTATTGTGACATCAGTAAATCCCCCAACAAATACAATGAATAATCAATGAATTATATTTAAAAAGAGTGAGTGTGAGTGAGTTTGTGCCGCTTTTAGCAACATTCCAGCAATATCACAGCTGGGGACACCAGAAATGGGCTTCACACATTGTACCCATTTGGGAATCAAACCTGAGTCTTCAGCGTGATGATGGAACGCTTTAACCACTAGGCTACCCCACTGTCCCATTAAAGTTTACAATACAAAGGGAAATACAATGGGTGAATTAACAGGCAGCAGCAGCGTGTGTAACCTGCCCTAGAATAAATGTAAGTGCACTCACAAATGTTCATAATTTTGTCACTGTCTCCACATTTGAGTGCAGCATAGGGTTGGAAGCTGCGAGGAATTTGGTGTCCACAAATTAGAATTAAAACCACACATGGCATGTTGACAAGATTTTAGGTGAATAATACTGATAATCCTCCTCTTGGTGCTCTTACAAAACTGACACTGAGCAGTAGAAACTGTCCCATCCACAAATTTTTCAAAAGGTCAAGCCTTCTATGGGCATCAACAAAAGGGCCAGATAACTCCAATCTCTGTTCCCAAATAACAATCAAACTTAAATATATGTACATACAGTAAACAAAACTGAATCTTCATCTTAACTAAGTCGATTTGTCAGCAACATTGTAGCCATTGTGTCCCTGATACATCACAATTCCATAATCATTAACTTGGTAGCATTTTACTTAAATGGATAGGTGGTGGGTTAGCCTAGTGGTTAAAGCATTCGCTCATCACGCCAAAGACCCAGGTTCAATTCCCCACATGGGTACAATGAGTGAAACCCATTTCTGGTGTCCCCCGCCGTGATATTACTGGATCATTGCTAAAAGCGGCGTAAAACCGTACTCACTCACTCACTTAAATGGAAGTGTTTGTCGCTGTAATTTACTGAAGACTAGAGTATTTCACAAACATTTATGTTTATGTTTAATATAAATTCATAGATAAATAAATACCTGTACATTGTATAAGTAGCAATGATCTTGACCCAACATCGCCACCGTAATTCTCCCACCCTGAAGGTACATAGTTTTGACTGCCATGTAACTTTACTAACTGAAAACATCTATCTATGGAGCAAGATCATTATCAATTTGAAAGGTTCGGTTACCAAAAATGATGAAACATGGAATATTAGTTCAGGAGACTTGTTAAAGGAACCTTACTAATGTCTATCCAATGTATGATCACTCAAATCCTAGCCAGTCTGTAGGGCATATAACAATAGCAATTATTTGAAGATCAGTCATTACTGAGACTGATGTGTTCTATTAACACCCTTTTGTCTGCCCCTATCCAAACCATGTCGCAGGCAACCGAATGCTAATCTCAAGCCCCAATAAAACACTATCAATGCAAATGCTAATGAAACACAACTGGTCAATCGATAACCAATGAGAACTACTAAACACTGACAAGCACCTGTCAGACTGATAGTGATTTATTAGCCACCTCAAAAGATCAAATCTTCCAATGATTTTTTTGCTATCTGCTTGTTCAATGGGTCAAATTGCCAAGTAACTAAACTCTACCACTTGGACTAGACAAGGCAGCTGTGTATAGTGGACTGTGACTCACGGAAATCAATGGCTGGGTTTGAATCCTGATTGATTGTCCCAAGATTACAAAGATCGATGAAGACATAACCCTTTAGGATTACAAATGATTACATTGCTGACATGTCAATGAACTGAAGAGCTCATACAGTTAGAAGAACCAGCGACTATAGGACTACAATAGACCATGAGATTGAACAATCTCTGTTTTGTGACTTCAGCCCTGAAAAAAGTGAACTGGGTTAAAAGGGTGATTGAGTGAGTGAGTCAATGAGTGAGTGAGTGAGTGCACTAACTCTAGCAATGTTTCAGCAATATTAGAATGGAGGGAACCAGAAATGGGCTTCACACATTCTGCCCATATTGGAAATTCAATGTAGGCCTTAGACCTTCAATGTACTGAGCAAATGCTATAATCACTAGGCCAGTTCAATGCCAGTGTTTGGTTGGGAGACAGTAGTTCAGTGGTGATAAGGTGTGTTGCTTTTTGTCCTTATTGGTCAATACACATAATATTCATATATTACATAAGGGGCCATTTCATTTACAGAACTCAGTGGTGTTGTGGTTAGAGCGTCCGCCCGGAGAGTGGAAGGTCGCGGGTTCGATCCCCCGACCGCGTCCTACCAAAAGACCTTAAAATATGGTACTTGTTCGTCCCTGCCTGGCGCTCGGCATTAATGGGTACAACAAGGACTGGTCGGCTCGGAGTCAGTATAATGTGTCTGAGTGGGGTATTCATGCTTCACTGCGGCATGGTATCTCAGTGGGCTAGCACTATATAACCAGCTTCAGTCTGGGCTAGTACAAGCAGACGCACATACACATACACACGCATGTCATATGAGCGAAATATTCTCAAGCACGAGGTTAAACCCAATTTCACCTCACCTCATTTACAGAACTCAGTGTGTTGGCTGGGATGATACAATTGCTGTTGTCATTTTACTTCATTATCTGGAATACCTATCGTGCTTATAATTAGAATTGTTCATGCTAGATTTTGTTATGAAAATTTCCTGTACATTTGTCAATATTCAAACAGAAAATGATAGTATTTATAAGTGAATGAATAATTGGACCCTTCTTCAATTACTCTGGAAATGTGAAATTCCACAGAAAATAGGGATTTCTGAGATTCATTCTGGATTGATGTTTCTTAATGGGTGAGTGAGTGAGTGAGTAAGCTGCCAGTTATGCTGTAAACAGTCACAAACCTATTTAAACGTAAGCTTCACATTACTCCAGCAGGTTTACTGTGATCACTGACACATGTTGGCAAATAAATCAGACTAGGTTGTGGCTAATGTGTTTCTGTAATTCCCTCAAACATAATACCGTTAGTTTGAAAGGG